ACATTTGTTAGTCTCTAAGGTGCCACAAGTACTCCTGTTCTTCTTTTTGCGGATACAGACTAACACGGCTGCTACTCTGAAACCTGTCAAAGAAAGAAAGAAAGACTTGGGAGCAGAGACGAAGCATGGGAAATTTCATCCTGTAAGAAGATTTTGGATAATTATGAGCCAGTTAATTCAGGGGGTTGTCATTTAAACATGTTACTACTTTGGCTATAGCATCCACTATTAGCTACTGCTATAATTCTTAGTGAGCCTCAGCCTGCTCCCATTAAAGTCAAATAAGAATTCAGATACTGTCTTACTAGGAACAATTCTAGTACTAGGAGTGGTTCTAATTATTATTCATACAGTACCTGGGCAGTGCAATGGTGTTTAAATGACAAATAAAATCACCCTCTTATACAAGCCCCAGTCCTACAAACCTTTACTCAAGCCCGCAATCCATACTCATGGAAGCAGTTTTATTCCTTCCTTCAGAGTGAGGAGTTGTAGAATTGGGTCTTTAGAAGGGGGGCTGGAACAATTTGTATAGTGGAGGTGCTGAGAGCCATTGAACCAAACTGTTAATCCTGTATATAATGGAAACCACTTGGAGTGAAGGGGTGCGGCAGCCCCCCAACACCCCTAGTTCCAGCACCTATGGTCTTTAGTTGGACATAGAGGGAGATGCTGTCACGCAAGATGCGGTTGCAGAGAAGGCACTGCAAAGTCTCTTGCTATGGAAGACAGTGTAGAAAATAAAGACAATTGGTAATTAATTAAGTGATAATGATTCAATTCACCCGAGAGAAGGCTACCCTGGGAGTTTGCAGCGGATAGTGCTCTAGATGTTTACCAACCATTTTACAGCTGGAATTTCACGTTTTCCTGAGGAATGGAGTCAATATAAAGCCACTAGCAAAATTAGCCTGCGCGCCTGTCACCAGAGAGCGTGTGTCCTGCACTTCCTGCTCGCAGGGGATTCGAGCTTTATTGGGAGCTGTATTGTCAGCTCCATCGCTAGTGATGCCCTGCGAGTTATATAGTCTTTCCGTGACTCAGTTTCCCCATGGGTGAAATGGGGATGAAAACGTTCTCGACACTTGTCAAGCCGTGTAATAAGGATGAACAGCACCATGGTAATACTGAATACTGTGTCGAGTCCGGGGGTTCGGGTCTCCTGACCGTGGGTGCTGTGCTAACACACAGGGAGACATACATCCCCTTTGACACCAGTCCGACACGCTGGCTGTCCGTGGAGACATGCCAGTGTACGGCGGAGGTCAGAGAGTGGGGAATCAGTATTGTGCTGCTTTCCCGGGGAGCTGGGCGGCCGGGAAGGCGCTGTGACGGGAGAAGTCTGGTGGTATTTACCTCTGAAACGGCCAGAACTCAAACTTGGCCTCACTAGCGCAAGTGATAAGGGTGGAGTAATGTTCTTTCTACGCCCCGATGCCTGTGCCAGGCTGGATCGGGCCCCAGGCAGCGGGCGTGGGCGGGGAAGGAGGATGGAGTGTCCCTCTGCATGGAGGTTCAGACTGTCTGGGCAGCGGGGCATTGGGCTGTAGGCACAGGTCTGCAGACGAAAGGCTGGGGGCTAGTCACTGCTGTTGT